AGGAAATATAAATTTGGTATTCTTAAAAATGGTTTATAAAATTCAATGTTAAGTTTAAAATGTATTGGAGTGGGAAAAAAAGAAAAAACATTTAGAAGAACCAATAATAACTTTAATTACGCACTATTATGTATATCAACCTTAAAAGAACACTTTTTTAAAATTTGCAATATGGCATTAACAGGATTTTACTGTACCGTATTATCTCTAACTATCCTTGCCCCGTGAGTCCATATTTCAGTTTTTTCTAAATTTTATGGAACAACGTGAATTCACTGAGAAATCATTATACTTAATTTAAATAGAAAAATAATTTTAAGTAATTTTGTTTTTGAAATTATTTTGTAAGCTTCATCCCAATATATAGAAAATATTTACTGCTTTGATTCAAAAATATTATTTGTTTGAATAATTATATTTAATTCAAACATATTTTCCGTCTTGATTAAAACAAAAAAAATTTTATGTTTGATTCAAACTTAAAAGTTGATTATAATTATTTTAAAAACAACTGTAACTTATGTTTGAATTAAATATATTATTTCTTTAAAGGAACCAAAAAATATGTTTGAATTAGGGTAAGTCCGGGGGAGAAGGTCATATAGGAGAGATGGACACCTTTTGTGACTACTAATAAATGTAAACAACAAATTGTTGAAAAATAATGAAAATGTAAGCGTAATCCATCTACATTTTTTTGCATGGGTCCAAAATAATTTGAGAATTTCAGAGTAACAACTTTGCTATTTTTATTTTACTCTTTCGATCAACTAATTATAAATTTCAATAGATTGCTCTTAGATAGGTTTTACAAGAATGTCGAATTTTCCATTCATCGGACAATTTAGTCAATTACTCCCTACTTCTAGATTATATCCCTTCTACTCTCATTATTCAATACATACATATACACTTATTGATTCATTACATTATATTTTCATCGTTAATCGTCGACCCCAGTAGTACACTCAATAACATATATGCTTTCCTTCCGGTTTGGAAAACTTTTTGAAAAGTGGTGTGCCTTCTATAACAATGTTTTAAGTCTATAGCTTAAGTCTATGGTTTAAGTCCATAGACTTAAAACATTCTTATAGAAGGCACACCACTTTTCAAAAAGTTGTCCAAACCGGAAGGAAAGCATATATGTTATTGAGTGTACGTAATATTACAGCAATATTGAGAACACTGCCTTAACATTACCAATATTGCCTCAATGTTGCTGGAATGTTCCCAACATTACATGCTACTGGGGGATTCTTCTAACAATCATCACACAATGCATTCACATACCATCAAACTACTACAAGTGCAGTATTTAAAATTTTTGGCTACATGAAAACTGCACTAAATCCCATAATAAATGTCCAAAATGTGACCAGAATAAGAGAAAAGTAATTTGTAAATTTTGAGATTGTTCCTATGGAAATATTTTATTTTTCGTGACTTTAAAGTTAAGTGTTCAATGTTTAATTATCAATAAAAGTTTAGACATAAATCGCTTTTTTATAATTTTTACAGTACTTTAAAAAAACTATGGCCATCTCCCCCAGACTTACCCTAAACTTAAATATGTTTGACTGTATAGCAAAGATATTTTAAGTTTGATTTAAACAAAATAAGTTTGAATCAAATAAATTGTTTTCTTATTGTTAATTTGAAAATAAATACGATATTCGTGTTCAGTAGGAAATTCCACTCCGGAAAATACTTACGTAAATAAATATTCTGAAACTCTAATGTAGAAAACAATATGATAAACATTACACGGAAAAAAAAGGTCTGGAAGAGATATCCATAAAAATATTGTTGAGCAGAATATTGTTGTGTTATCCAATTCAATGGAAGAGACAACTTTCAGAATGGAAGCACATTCCATATTCAATGGATGAGGGAGCCATATTATATTGTTGAATCAAATATGGATGTGACATCCATAGGCATGGTTGGGCTTACAATTCATGCTATGGATTTTCACATATGGCTGCCTCATCCATATAAACTTTGGTTGGGAGATCCATAGTTAGTTCAAAATTTCGATACATGTTGCGCACAATTCATTATCATGGCATCCATTTAAAAATGGTCGTTTCAATTTGTCCGTCGCGTCGGTTTCCTGTCACGTCTATATAATCGCGTTGTGAGTTTATTGTGTATAAATAGTGTTATAATTGTTTATTATTTATTATCCTTATTGTTTATTAGTGTTTATGTAAATTAATTTTCATGAAATATGTGTAGAGTATATAAGGAATATTATATGCTCAAATATTGTAGTTGCGTGTATAGTGTAGTGGATAGCGTTAGTGTTTAGTATGCGTTAGGTCTAGGGTTCGTGTCTCCCCCCATCGGTTAGTAATTTATTTCGTTAATATTCGGTTATTCAATAAGTGTTGTGTATTAATTAACAAAAATTTGTATAAAATATCTCAAGTGACATTGAATCTAATTAATTGAGTGATTCCAATTTTTTGTTTCCCATTTCCATTACTATGGATCACCCAACCATAGGTCTTTTGCTGCTCCAACAATATACAGCCAGCCATAGAATATGGATGCAGCAACCTTAACTATGGATATCCCGTATTTTTCAATATAATATGGCTGTGATATCCATGTATCTGGATGTGTCAACTATTCCTTTTTCTCCGTGTACGTTGACATTTTAGCAAAACAGACTTTTTTCAAAAATAAACTCCTAACTTCGCAAATGGTGATAGATTGCTGCCTTATAATTTTTACTATCATCTTTCTTGGTGTTAAAACGCGAATATATACCATGAATTACGCGATTTTTGAACAAGCCGTCTAAGCATAACAGCAACTAACTATCCTTGCCCCATCCTCCCCTATTATTTATAATTATCATTATTATTATAAACATTGAGATAATTTTTAATTAAATAAACAATTTTCAGTTCACTAACCGTAAATTTAAATGTAAATAAATAAAAAGTTTATTTTTATGCAAGTAAATATAAAAAAGGAAAAGAAAATTTTTTTCAGTAATAAGGCATTTATTTGTTTAAAAAGAAAATAATTTGTTTATAACAAATGTAAATATTTATGCTAATTAATTTTTTATGTTTTTAACAGAATGTACGTATATATTATGATATAAACATTTTAAGTTTAAGAAATGCCGAAAATGTTTACATATGCAAAAGAAACTTGATTATTGTTCATATAATTGTTAATAACAATGATAATTATGAACAAAAAAACAATTTTTTATGAAGGACCAAAGTCATCTATATTTGTTCATTGACATTGTTTATAACATTTTAAATAAATTGCATTCTTATTTTTGGACTAATTTGAGTTGATTTCAATCATCTGCAATTAAAAAATAAAATAATAAACATGATTTTTTCCAAAAACGTTCTAATGTGTTAACTTTGAGTAACAAAACAATTGTAAACAATTAAAAATTCAAAAATCGACTTCGAGGAATCTCTTTGGAATTTTATCACCTTCAATATCCTTGGCACCTATTTTTAGTATATATTCTTAAATTAAGAATATTTTTTTTCCTGTGAACATAATTTTTTAAATAAGTTGTGAAAAATTCGAAGTTTAAAAAATATTGAAGTTTCAATTTTATAAAATTACTAAAAATTTGATTTTTGTTATAATCTTACTTTAATTGATATTGAGTTAATATTTATGATTTCTGATTTATAATTAATGTTTTAAATATTTGTTGCAAATTTCTAAAATCGTTTTTTGAGAATATAACAAGAAATAATTTATTTTCATGAGGCATTCTTTAGGACCCCCTCCTTCAGATAGCACGTAACCTTGCAACTTTACACAGCCTGTGACGTAATATGTGAATGATCGCTAACCTTCTGGCAACATTATTATGCAATATTTCAGTAATGTTATTTGGCAACGTCTCGTCAATATTACTGTGCAATGTTGGCGCAAGGTTGCACAATAAGCTTGGAAGTAAAATATTTTAAGTATTTTTTTATCAATTTTTAATCTTTAAGCAATAAGATGTTTAATGTAATTAAAACAATCAAAGAATTCTAAATTATTTTGCTAGCTTACTTTGAAACTTTGCAGCAACATTACAGAGCTCAGAATTTGTGTCAACATTACTCGGCAATATTGATGCAACATTTCCAAGTAACCTTACAACAATATTGCACGATAACGTTGAGAAAGGTCGCCGTGTAATGTTGGATAACCTTGCAACATATGGGTGGCAACATATTAAGCTTTTAAAAACATTGCGACAACATTATCGTGCAACATTTAGATGTCAAGTGACAGTTTTTGAAAATTCAAAATGTCGGATTCAATATGGTGGACGATATGTTTAAAACTATTGCAGTTTTTATCAAATTTTTTTACTCGGGAGTTTTTTGGGTCGCTAATTACGAATCAGAATGATTAATTAATTACGAACGAAGATATGGGATATTCGGAGTAATATTAACTTGTATTTAGAGTATAAAATAAACTCATCGCATTGAACCACTTCTGAACCAAAATTTTTGCCACCAAGATTCCAATATTATCCTAATTGCTCAAAAAATGAATTTTCCCTTATTTTGACACCAAAAAAGAAGCATTTGACCACACTCTAGAGTTTAAAAAAACGCTAGAAACGAAAACCACACACCTTCTCAGCTTTCATCCACATCCTCCCTTCTTGTCGCTTCGTTTTTTCCCACTGGAAAGCTGTTCGCCATAGGGACATGTCAGCAAAACTCATATCAAAAACTGTGCGATTTGGAAAAAGGTCTGAATGTTCTTCGGTTTGGTATCCGCGTGGAGGTCAAAGAACGTCTCTTTCTCCTTCTCTCTCTTGTACGATCGCTTCAACTTGGAGTCAAGGTGGTATTTGCCAGCTGCCGTTGATCGTGTTCAATGCCGCAGTCGGAGCAAGAAAGCTGCCTTTAAGTAGAAAAAGAAGTGGGGATAGAGTTCGTACACAGGCTATGCCACAGCATCGGCTTCGGTTTCAGTCTCTCCATACACCAATATATTCTTAACCCTACACTCGACTCTCTTTTAATATACACTCCACCTTACATTTATATCTATATCTACATCCTTCTTGTTCATCCTTTCTCTCCTATCCAAAGCAGCTCGTCACCTCTCACTTGCACACGCAAACCACTCGAATCACTGATGGTGATGGTGATGCTGTGCAGTTCAACTGGCATGTTCGTACCGTGTGGACGTGCCACTACGTGGATTGAGAATTTTCAAAAAAAGGAAAAAAATCGAATTCCAACACCCGTTCCTTGTCGCTTCCTAGTCAACCAGTGATACCATTATAACTAGATAGGATACAAACAACCGGAAACTACAAATTCCCCCCGTTTCCATTTTGTGATACGTGGCTTTTCCTTATCACGTGCAGCAACATCAGTGCTACTCTCTTCAAAAAGTGTTTAATCGTATCAAAAATTCGCGGAATAATTATTATTTTTGCAAATTTTGGGTAAAGAAAACTTTCTAAATTGGAATTTTTTGTTTTCCATTTGGAGAATAGAAATATAGAATATAGATGTACAATTGTTGCATATATATACCTTTAGAGAAAGCAATGTATATTGTATGTCATTGAGGAATTTGGATTCTAAATATACAGTGAAAAATTATTCGCTTCATTCAAATCAACTATTACTTGTCTAGTATTAAATAAATATTTGAACCAAATAAACCTTTGTTCCAAATAAACATTTGTACCAAATAAATATTTGCATCAAATAAATATTTGTACCAAATAAACATTTGTTCCAAGTAAATATTTAAACCAAATAAACATTTGTATCAAACAAATATTTGCATAGAATAAATATTTATTTTTACCAAATAAATATTTGTATGAAATAACTTTTATTTAAGTCAATACAATGGAATATCGGCAGTTCTATAAAGAAGGAAGAAAACGAAGTGAATTTTGACAAGACAATTATCTTGCAAAAAAGACCACAGGTCAGGGAATTCAGCAAATTCAGGGAAAAGTCAATAAAAGTAGAATTGGTCAGGGAAATCAGGGAATAGTCAGATATTTTTATCAAAAGTACTGGAAGAAATTAAGTTTTTGAATTCATAAGAAAATTTTGAATTTTGGTGTCTCTTAGGTTTGCCTTATAAACTATGAAATTAACACCAATTCTAATACAAAACCTTAAATTTTTTTCTATTTCTGACAATAATTTCTTTTTAAATAACTTAATTCTTATCGTTAAATTATTATTTATAAATTATTTAATGAATAATTTTACTTAAACATTTCAAAATTAATTGAATTTTAAAAGGGTTGCGTATACAATTTTATTAAATAGATGAACTTCAAAAGGATTCAATTTGAAATTTTATAAAATTTCAATTTGAATGAATTTTATCAGAAATTTTAAAGAACTTCAATTTTTAAAAAATTTTAATAATTCAAATTCTTCTAAAATTAATTCAACTTTTTAAATATACATATTTAATTAGTTGTTAAAATTAATGGATTTATATAGAAAAATTTCAGTTATAAATTTCTTTGCAAGAGCTAGATTATTTTGACAAAAAATAACACTTTTTTCAGGGATTCAATTATTTTCATAAATATTAAAATTCTTTTTAGAAATTCAATTATTTTGATAAATAATAAAACTCATCGTAGAATTCCAATTATTTTTAATACAATTTTAATCGAATTCCTTGAAAAATGTAATTATTCTTAAAAATGTTATTAACATTGTCCAAAGGATTCAATTATTTAAAAATTTAATGATAAAATTCATTATCAGAATTCAATTTTAAGAAACATTCAAATATTCAATAAATTATTTATTTTTGTATTTACATAATTAAATTTTCATAAATTTTGAACAAAATGTCAGCCATATTGAATCTGCTATTTTGAATTTTTTAAATCTGACTTTATATTCGTAATCAGTGACCTTAAAAACCCCCGAGTAACGAGTTTAAAGTGAATCCTATGAATTTTTAAAAAAAAGTCGTCAGCCATATTGGATCCGCCATTTTGAATTTGAAAAATCTAGTTCTGAATGACCTGAAAACTCCTAGGAAACTATAATTTTTATCTAAATATTCTAATGAATGTTTCTTAAATAACATTAAAAATTATGTTCCTATTATATTTTGACATTACACTCAAAAAAGTATTTATTTAAAAGTATTTATTCAAATAAACATTTTATCAAACATATTTTTGTTTAAATTACACCTATATCTTTGTGCAATACCTGCTGGAAAAGAGCTACTTTTCATTAACATAAATGCAGCACAAAGTGGTCAATTTCTGCACATTTAAAAGTGTGCAGGAAAGTGTACTTTCCTGCACACTTTTCTGTAAACAGTATAACATACACTATAATCAACATAAAACTATATTTATTGATTAGAAAAGTATAAAAATAACTTTTTTCGGTAAACAGGTGTTGCACAAAGTACTGCTCGGAGCAGCAAAGCTTTGCACTCGTCGGAAAACAGCTTCTTTCTGTACTTGTTGCACAATATACTATTGCTATACAATCATACATATTAAAATTTAATTGAAACATATTTTTTGTTTCATTTGAAGAAACAATATATTTAATTCAAACATAAATAAAATTATGGTACATATTACTGAAAAAAAATTTATTTGAGACAAGCAATCGGTTATTACAATTACAACAACGAAATACATTTTTTTCAGTGTTAGAATAAGGTTTGGGGACATTCGAAAAAATAGTTCGGAATTTTTATTGCAGCAACTTTTTGCTGTTTTTTTTTGTTACTATTTTATAACAATTCGGAAACGCTTCTTACCAGAATTTGTTAATTTAGTATATTTTATTACCTTCTTTTTTTATGCTTTGCAGCATTATAGTAGCATATATTATTAGAAATTCTTTAACAATTTTGTAGCAATTTTGTAATACTTTTTAATAATCACAAAAAATAGCAACACAGTAAAAAGAAAGTCTTATTTTAAGGCAGAAAAGCAGTCTTAATTTAAGACGCAAAATTTTTAAGGCAGTCAGTGCTGAATTTAAGTAATGGATTTTGTATGATTTAACATTAGAGCCGACAGTGCTGAATTTAAGACTGATCTTAAATTAAGATTTACTTTTTACTGTGAAATAAGGATGCTACTAAATTGCTACTTGACATTAATTAAATATATTTTTTGTTAACATTTTGGTAGCAATTCAATAGTAATGTATAGCTTATTAATATTTTAGTAGTAACTTAGTATATTTTTTGTCATCACTTTAAAAAAGTTTCTTATTTGAATTTTTGTTTCAAATTACTAAATTTACTACAAAAATGATACCAATTTGCTACGAAAATAAAGAATGCTTCTAAATTACTATTTATTAAGAATAAAAACAATACTTAATTGCTACAAAAATTCTTACAGAAGAATGATTCTAAACTACTATTAAAGCTAATGGGCAAATGCTACAAATGCTAAAAAATTATCTACAAAAATGCTTATAAAGAATGCTTCTAGATTTCTAATAATGCTAATAAAAAATGCTACCAAATTGCTATCAAAAATTCTTATCAAAAATTCTTCTAAACTGCTTCTGATGCTAAAGAAAAATACAACTAAAATTATTCCATAAAAGCATAAAACACTGCAACAAAAATCTAATTCAAAATCAAGAAATGTACTCCCAATAACCAAAACTTACGTTACTAAAATTTTAGTACAAAAAACATTTTTAAATCTTCAAATGCAAAATCTATATTTACTCGCATCTGCCTCTCAAAAAATGTCAGTTCCAAATGCGAATAACATTGCAAAAGGCCAATGCAAAAAATACATTTAGAAATACAACCATTTTCACAAAGAATGTGTTTGCACTTTGGATTGTAAATATTTTTTAAAGCATTTTTCACATTTTTCTTTTCCAATATGTACATATATACAACACATTTTGTAACACACGTTTTGAAATATACTAAATTTTTTTACAGTAAACCATAAAAGAAAAATTTCGTATGCACTTGGTATTTTAGTGAGATGAAATTGCCGTATAAAATGCGTGTGTTCCAGTACAGTATTAGGAGTGTAAAATAAATGCATTTTCATCCGTTACTGTATATCGTTGAGTTGTGTGTAAAATAAAACGCACATACAAATTACAATCGTTGATTTTTTACATTTACGTTCACATTCACATAATTGAAAAAGTAAAGAAAAATTATATTACATAATTTTGTTTGTAGCAATAATTTTTAGAGTATTTTAATTTTGTGAGACAAAAATTCATTAAACAATATTAGAAAGTACTGGGGAAATATTAAATTTATAGAATTACTACAAAAATAAATCGTTTTTGATGAAGAAAAATATTTTTGAAAACCTTAAAAATCATGAATTCTCCTTGAAATTTTTTCACTTTGAAAACTTTTAAATCACAAGGTTGAACAAGGTTCAAGGTTGAACTTTTCGGTTTCATAAAAAGTCGTTTATACTTTTCATAAAACCAAAAATTTTAATCCCCTTTAGGGATACTTAGGGAGTGCTAGTGGATGGAGGAGGGGACAAATTTATTTTTGGTGGTCTATTTCGGTTTCAGGGACCCAAAAAACATACGAATAGATTTTTTACAAATGTTTAGCGCGAAACGCGGTATTCGAATTACAAGTATATGTCCTGATTATGCAAATTACAAAAATTTTTATATGCAAAATTTCAACTTCAATTTTTGAAAAATACCAGATTCACAATTTTAAAAAAATTTACTTATTAAATAATTCAATATAATAGGATATTATTTATTATTTTCAAAAATGTTAATAAAATTCTTCGAAGCAATTTAATTACTTTCAAAAGTTTTCAAGAATTTCTTCGAAACAATTCATTTATTATCATAAATTTAAATAAAATTCTTCAAAAAAATTTTATTAATTTCTATTCATTGTTTTGTTAACATTCTTCATAATAATTCAATTATTTTTAATACAATCTTAATTAAATTTATCGAAAGAATTAAATTATTTTCAAAAGTTTCCAAAAACATAGTTTGAAAGAATTTAATTATTTTCAAAAATTTTAATGAAATTTGTCAAAACAATTCAGTTATTTTTAAAAGTTTTAATAAAATTCATCGCAACAATTTTAACTATTTCTATAAAAAATAAATTTCTTCGCAGGAAATCAATTATTTTCATTTTGAATAAAATTCATCAAAAAAATTCTATTCCTAATTTCAGATATTTTGATGAAATTATCTAAAACAATTCAATTAATTTCATAAATTTGAATAAAATTCTTTAAAAAAAATTCAATTAATTTAAAATGTTTTGATAAAATTCTTTATAATAATTCAATTGATTTCAAAATAATTTTAATTAATTTTATCGAAATAGGGTCTCAGTTGGGGTAAATCCAGACAAAATACCTATTTTTCACAAATAACATAAATTTTTTATTATAAAAGGCAATACTTCCTGTTCTCTATTGCATTAATTTGTTACTTTAGTTCTCTAAAAAATCAAATTCTCAAAGAATTTTAATTGAATAAATAGTAATTAATTAAATTTTACAAAGCAAATTGCATTTATAAATTTTAAAAAGATTTAAATTTAAAATCTTTTTTAAAAATTGAAGTTACAAAAAGTTTTACTTAAAATTCTAAAAAAATGGGGTTTAAAAATATTTCAGTTCTATTTTTTCAAGATTTTTGAATTTTATAAATAAGTGATTGAAATCTTCTTTGTTTTTTTTCATATTCAAACCTTATAAATATATAAATTATTTTTAATGATTGAATACAATTAGAATAAATTTAAAATTTGAAAAGGAACTTATTTCGTCCATTTGAATTTTTAGAATTTTAACCATAATTTTATATTTAAAATAGGTAAAGAAATAGTTTAAAAATTAATTTTTGCTTCTATAAATTATCTTTTTTATAATTGAACTCCCGTTGAATTTATTTTTTTAATAACTATCTGGGAAGAGGTTAAAATTCTGTCTCAAAATCCGGGAAAAATGAAATTAAACTTTCGTGCCAGAAAAAAGGAATAGGCCAAAAAGTGCTACTTTGCTAAGTTAAAACGTCTACAAGTAACATTCGCTTTAAGGTCATGTTATTCAGTGTGAAGTTTTTCCATAGTAAAGTATATGGGGCACGTGACCACTGAATAACATGACCTTAAGATCGATTAGTAGACTATTTTAATATTTGTTAACATCTATTCTCCAAATAGGAAAACATTTCTCTCCAAATTGAACAAGAAACTCAAAATTAATCTCAATTTCAGATCGTTTAGAGTGAAAAAAATGTTCTCGCTTCCATCGATGGAAGATCTTGAAGACCTCAATTCTCAGTGTTCTTTAGTGTTCAAGTTCTTATTTTGGTACAGCAGATGATATTTGATGCACCTGCTCGCAAATTGAAGCAACTAATTTTTTGCTAGCCAATTTTATTATTTGCAAAAGAAAACTTTTCGCTTATGGAAAATATCTAGAACCGGTTTTTATTTTTTTTCCTGTTTTTTTTTTTGCCTTGCTCAAGAACCCTTTTATAGAAATTTCTTGAAGAAATCAAGTGTTGGGCGCCAATGAGCACCACAAGCAAGAGAGCAGTGTTAATAGCGAGAGACGAGACGAGGTACCGTAAGCAGCCTTCCTCCACGGGAATAAAGGATATATAATGTGTCGCGTCGATGCAAGCAGTCTTGAGAGTCAGCCTCTGGAATTCGATGGAACGAGACCATTGCAAGAATGATGAGTAAGCGAAAGGAATTTTTGTGAGAAAAAAAAATTACGAAAAAAAAGTAAAGTAAAGTAAAGTAAAGTGAGAAAGTGTAACGATGACGACGACCATGATGATAATGATGATGATACTAAGCTGCAGAAAGGGTTTTCGAAGAAACCTTGGGGAAAAGAAGTGAAAAGTGAAATGTCCATGTGACTCGTGACAGTGTGTGCTGTGTGTGCCCTCTTGTGAGGAATTTCTTCCCTCATTGGGGAAGAGGCATTTCTTAAAGAGGGACTTCACCAAGGTGTATATATACCTTTTGCCAAAGGTACCCAACATCCTTCAAGGAACCGCTTTAAAAGTGTTAAAGAAAAGGTACCAAAAATGTACTTTTCTTCTTCATTCCATACGTTTCTCAAAAAAAAATTGCCGATCTCAATTCCTTTAATAATCGAGTTTTTATGTGTAATTATTTTTAAAATAGTTCTACTGCTCGAATACTCTCTAAAACTGAATCAGTGTTTGACTGAGAATCAGTGACTCTATTCTCGCGATTTGAATCAATGAAATTTCACTGAAAGTCAGTTAAAAATGATTGAAACTTCAGTCATTTTTCACTGATTGACCAATTAAAAAATAACTGAAATTTTCAATATGTGTAACAGAAATTTTCAGTAGTTTTTTAATTGGCAAATCAATGAAAAATGACTGAAATTTCAATCATTTTTAACTGACTTTCAGTGAAATTTCATTGATTCAAATCGCGAGAATAGAGTCACTGATTCTCAGTCAAACACTGATTTTCAGTGGAATTTCACTGATTCAGATTTAGAGAGTATATAGTTACTGGGTTAAACACCTTATGAAATATCACTCTTTAAAGTGCCACTTAAAGTGCGTCGTAAAGTACACATTTTAGAGTACAGATCACTGTACCATAATACGATTAGAATAGAAATTTAAAATTATCTCATTTCCAAAAAATTAAAAAGCTTTCACATATCCATGTGGCTCTCTAAATCTAATATTCCTAAAGTTTCCAAACACGATACTTTTTTTTACTTCTTTTAATTTGTATTTTTAAGTGCAAATATTATTACCGTCAACCGGATCTTGACTCAACGATTTATTAAAATTCAGAATTAAAAAAAAGAAAAGTAAAAAAAAAAAAATTGATATAGTTGTAGACAACCTTCTAAAGGTGTCTTCTAAAGGCCGATAGAAAAAATTTTTGGTCTAAATTATAGTCATTAAAAGTTGTGCACAAATACTAACAATAAGAATGCTATTAATATTTTTCTGAAAATAGTTTCCTCTAAAATGAAAATCGGAGAAGTTTAAACAAAACATAAAATTATATAAGTTCTCATTTAAGTTGTGAGTTATTTAAGCATCATTATAGTAAGTTATTAAAATAATCCTAAATGCAAGTTTGCTCTAAACCAAAAATTATGAGTAAATATTACCAAAAAAATCAAGTTCCATGAGTTCTATAAAAAATTGTATTAATATCTTTCCAAAATCAATTCCCTCTAATTGTGAGCTTAAAATCTGTAAAAGTTGTTGAACTATAGAAAGATTACAAAATTTAGAATTCTATGAGTTTTGAGTAAAGTTACATGAGTTCTATAAGAATCATAACTTCATTACAAAGATTTTTTAAAGTACACTGAGACAATTTTTTTTTAATCCAAAAATAAGTAGCCAATTGAGGAGCTGGATTCTAGAACCGGCTCTTCGCTCGGACGCACGCGCTAATACCAGTCGGGTAGCTGTGACAGGCCCAGAGGCGCTCACTGCCACCCGACTGGTATTAGCGTATTATTTTTATTGAATCAAACTTATTAAGAATTAAATAAAACTTATTCTCGAACTTATTACGAATTGAATCAAAATTATTATGTTTAATACAAAAATAATTTTTTTGTGACTGTACAACAAAGATAATTATTTTTGATTCAAATTTATTGTTTTCTTAGTGAAATCCTAAAGACAGTTTAATATTATTAAAAAATTTCGAGTTTTATGAGTGCTGATTAAAGTTTTGTAAGTTGTGTTAAGAGTTTTGGCATAACTATCAAAGGTTATACAAAGAATGTTATAAATATTTTTCTGAAAATAGTTTCTTCTAAAATAAAAATCTGAAAAGTTTAAACAAAACTTTAAATTATTGAGTTCTTATTTAAGTTCTATGAGTTATTAAAGCCTTATTACATCATTCTAATAAGTTATTAAAATAATTCTAATACTGCATAATTATAATAAGTTATTAAAATAATCATCTTACCAGTTCACTTTCAACCAAATATTATATAAAAACAATTGTGCACCTTAAAATTTTTAATTTTGAGTCCTGATTAAAGTTCTGAGTTTATGATTCTATGAGTTTTGATTAAAATTTTGAGTTATGATTCTATGATTTTGAATAGAAGTCCCATGAGTTTTTTTAACATTATTAAAGCATTAAAATTTTAAGTTTTCAAAATTTAGAGTTGTATGAGTTTTGAGTAAAGTTGCATGAGTTGCTTAAAAATTATGACATCATTATAAAGGTTTTTTAAAAAAATCATAATGACAGTTCCTTTTGAAGCAAAATTTAGGAAAAAATGATCAGGTTAAAATTTACGAAAAATTAATTTTAAATTTAAATTAATTTTAAACAGTTCACAAGACTGAAAATGTTATGAGTTTTCAGTAAAATTGCATGAGTTCTATAAAATTTATGACTTCATTACAAAGATCATCATTACAAATATTTCTATTACTATAATTCTTCTAAAAATACGCACTTCTAAACAAAAAATCCGTAAAAGTACTTAAACTTCAAAAAGTTTACAAAATTAAGAATTTTCTGAGTTCGAATTAAGGTCGTAAGAGCTTTATTAAAGTTATAACATCTTTAAAGAGAGTTAATAAAATAATCCTACTGACAATATTCTCTATAGCAAAAATTACAAAAAAATATGCACTTTAGACTTTTTTTTATGAGTTCTCATGCATATTCTATAAGTTTTCTTAAAAATTGTGTCAATATTGTAAAAAAAACTCTTCAGGCTTATGATAGTAATTGAATCTGTTAAATAAAAACTCGGATGAATATTAAATAGAATTTCCGGTAAATGAAAATTCACAGTAAAAAGAAAGTCTTATTTTAAGGCAGGAAAGCAGCCTTAAATTAAGACGCAACATTTTTAAGACAGTCAATGCTGAATTTAAGCAATAGATTTTGTTAAAAAAAAGTTAAAAAGTAAAGTTTGTTAAAAGTTAGCTAATGCAACTAATTCTTAGCAATCGCAGCTAATTTTAATTGCTATTATATGAATAGCAATTATATTAGGTACTCCAGCTACTAAGCTGGACTATCTAGGCGTTGTTAGCTATAGCACACCGAAAAAAATAAAATCTCAAAGTGAGAAGAAAATTCCGCTTAACAATTATTTTTACATTTAATTTTTAGTATACGAATATTCATTTACAAAAAAAAGAGGAATTTTTGTTTATATTTAAAAGTTTTTTAACTAAAAGATGAATTTTAACCTTTTTTCTTTGATTGAAATTATTCCTCTCAAATTGAAACAAATTTATACTAGAAAGAAGATTTTTAAGTTGCTTTTTGTTTTTCTGAACGCAGCTTTAAACTGTTTAAAAAGTGACATTTAATGGAAAATATAAAAGAGGAAAATCCTCTCAATTAGAAATGAAAACTTTAGTGCCTATATATAAGAGGAAAAAATGCTGCAAAAGAAGAAAAAAAATACTGTCTAGTGCATGCGTGAAAATCTATGGGGTTCACAAGCACGGATTGCTAACTTATTAGCTGTAGTTGCTAACTTGTTTGCTGTAATGGCTAATTTGGATAACTTTTACAGCTAATGATTATTAATCTGTATAGCAAATTAAAAATTAGGTGCTATAGCAAATAATTTGCTCACTCAGCTAAATTATTAGCATCAACAGCTAATAAATTTCTGCTAATGCGCTGCTGTTGCTAAAGTGTTTTTCTCCGTGTATGATTTAATATTAAAGCAGACAGTGCTGAATTTAAGACTGCTCTTAAATTAAGATTTACTTTTTACTGTGTTTTATTAAAAAATATTCTTTAAAGTTGGAAATTCACATTTAAATGTAATAAAAATGATATAAAAGGAAAAGTTCGTTAAATAAAGAAAATCTGCTTGAAGTGAAAAATCGCCTAAACAGAGTTTCGCTTTAATAAAAATTCAACTTCATAAAAATTCAGCTAAATAAAAATTCTACTTACTAAAAATTCAGATAAATAAATATTCGACTTAATATAAATTTGACCGAACAAATATTTCGTAGCTTAATAGAATTACGCTTAATATAACCGGCTTAACGGAAAATCTAATTAATATGAATTTCCCCTTGACAAAACTTTCGTAGCATAAGACAATTAAACTTAATTGAATTTTGATACTAAAAATTTAACTAGACAAGTATTTATTTCTAATCAATCGAATTTTTTGTGTACTTTACGAGTTTTTAAATTTCCTACGAACATTTTTTTCCTATTTTCTTTTGACATTTTTCTTGTTCAACCCATTGACATGTAACATTAGGTTAACAAAATTCGAACATTTATCAAACAAAGTAATACAATTTAGTAACGGTTGTGCTAAATTCCGTTAACAAACTTTTATAAACTCACTTAAAAATCTGCTCAGATTGAAAAATACGAACAGAGACAGGGAGAAAGAGAGAGAGAGAGAGAGACTGTAATATTAATTCAACATAATAAAATTTTATTAATTTATGGAGAAATAAAGTTTCCAACTAATCAAAAGATACAAATTTTATTACGTTTCTTAATTACCAAAAAAGAAGGAGAAATGAAAATATTGCGGAAATTATTTTATATTTATAATCATCTTAAAGCTACCTTCTTGCTCTAAAAACTATTTTTCAACTGATTTCAAACAAGTTTTTTGACGTAACTGCAATTTCTAATTCAATCTCAAATATAGAAAAAGAAAGGTCATGAATATTTGAAAGGCAGTTTATTGAAATAAACTGCGCTGAAAAATCTATGAGAAAAAAGTTTCTTGTCTCTTTTTCACAGTAGGAATGCAACATTTTTTAAGAACTGAAGTAAACAATTTAAAGATTTTCATTAAAATAATTTTAGAAATAAAACAATTTTCAATGATTTTTAAGGAACAAATTTTTATAAATATTCAAAGAATTCTAATATTTATTTTCAAAACTATATGTATGTATTACTTTATATGTATTTACAACTAAAAATACTAAATTAGAAATAAAATATAAACAGGGTTCGAAGTAAGGAATATTAATTGATTTATTTATTTTTAAAATGCCCTGAATTAAGGAATATAAAAAAAATTAATTCCTGGGAAAAAATTTTATTATAAAGTTATATATGTCAATCGATTGAACATGTGAATAAGAAAAAACATTCACTTAGCGATTATCCAACTCGCAGATTAAAGGAATTTTTTGTTTATTTGAAATTTCCGATTATAGGAATAAAATAGGATATCTGATCCTGAAAATTTTTTTGAACTTGGGTATGAGGAGATTCACATGCAGGCGAAAGACCCTGGCAGCAATTTCGGCGATTATGGGACGCCTCGGAAAGAGTCTACAGAATACAACTCGACCCATTTTCAATGTACATTATCGTAAACTCGACGACGAATATAATCAAAATCATCATCAGCAATATCAAGAACAAGTGAGGTGCATGTCATCATTACCAGAGTACATGTCATACTGTTGCTGTCAGTGTGGACACACGCAAAAATTGAAAGTAAGTTTCACTGCGTTTTTAATCAACTATTCACTTTGACACACGATAAACGAAGAAAATTATATTCAATAATAATATCCAGACAGTCGGAATATAAAATTTAAATTTTTAAGCAAATCCTGTCATTTTCAATAATGATGCAGTTCATCATTTGCACCAAGTTTCTTTTTTAATATTTGTTTCTTCCCTGACCCTAAAGAATATTCTTATTCACTCTAAAAGTAATTATAGATACTCAAAAAAAAATTTTATTACATTTATTTACGAATATATTATTCAAAAACATCAATATAACTTCATTTTTTAAATAAATTTTTAATCATTATTTTTCCATAGGAATTAAGATTTCAAAAAATTTAAAATTCAAACCTTTTTGATATTTAATAAAGTACAATAATTAACCCTTTGGCAGTCGATGTCATATACAGCGGGGCTCAAACTGTCGATGTCGTGTACAAACGCAAGCAGATTTTTGGTTAGAAAAACAGACAGATTTCTCCTAAAATTGTTACTCGGGGGTTTTTGGGGTCGCTGATTACAAATCCGATGTCAGTTTTTAAAAATTTTAAATGTCGGATCCAATATGACGGACATCTTCAAAAATTCATCGGTTTCATTTGAAACTCGTTCTTACGAAGGTTTTCGGAGTCGCTGATTATGAATTCGATGTCAGTTTTTAAAAATACAAAATGGCGGAAGACATTTTTAAAAATTCATCGAATTGACTTAAAACTCGTTACTCAGGGGTTTTCAGGGTCGCTGATTATGAATATTGCATCAGATTTTTTAAATACAATAATGTGGCGGTTCCAATAAGGCGGACGCAATTTTATAAAATTTATCAGATTCACATAAAACTTCACTGACCAAACGATTTATTTGGTTCAAACATATTTTGTTTAAATAAAACTTAAAATATCTTTGCTATACAGTCAAACATATTTAAGTTTAATTCAAACATATTTTTTGGTTCATTTAAAGAAATAATATATTTACAGTAGGATCTTTCAATAGTGCAGTCGTCGGGAATATTGTGCACTGTTCGAAGCAAGCAAAAACTAAAACATTCAGGTCCGTGTCAAGAAAATTAAGGGTCCCCCACTACTAAATAATCAAATGAGCGACGGCACTGTATTTAACGTCACACATTCCCTTTCCCTTTACCCCCCGAAACCCCTTGTCTACTCAACTCATTAATGACTGCACTGTTTATAACTGCACTATTGAAAGATCCTACAGTACACTGTAAAAAATTTAGGGAGTTAACGGACTCGGGAGTTGGGAGTGAAGTTTTTCGAGTTAAAAATCAACTCCAAAAGAGAGTTAATTTCTAACTCCCTTCATTCAACACCCGCGCGAGTTATTTTTTCCTTGGGGAGTTAGCATTTGGGTGTGAAATTTTAATTCTCTTTATTTAACTCCCCTGGCATTAACTCCCCAATGGGTGCGACTTTTATAGGCCCCCTCGGGGGAGTTAAAATTTAAATTTTATTTAAAAATGTGTTTATTTAAAAATATGTTTATAAGTCATTTAAATGACTTATAAAAAACGAAACGAAAATTTCTATCAATACACAGATATAAGTTATGGTTGATTTTAAATTATTTATAATTAACTTTTAAGTTTTAATCAAACATAAAATTTTTAAACATAATTTTTGTTTAAATCAAAACAGAAAATATGTTTGAATTAATAGTACATTGCACAACTAGTGGCGAAAGTGTGATTTTTCGAGAGTGAAGTTTGCAGGGGCTCGAGCGTAGCGAGAGCAGCAATCACTCTCGAAAAATCATTCTTTCACCACGTGTTGTGCACTACGTTTTCTCCAACGCCTTGCGAGAAAAGGTTTCTTCGTGAGTTTCATATATATCAAATAATGGATTTTGACTAGAATCACGCTAGAAAATCTAGTCTGGAAAAATCTGACTAGAACCTGTTTAGATTCTTGTGAGGAAATTCGGACTAGAAATATCTATCTAGATTCCGCATAAAATCTAGATATATACCTAATTCAGATTAGAAATCACTGGTTAGATCCTTCCCAGGCGCGAAAAACCAATGCTGACGATAGATTGAAGCTTGATTGAGTCTTGAACGCTCAGTATGGGTATCCCACAGTAGAAGCAGTCTTTACATCACTGTCACTCAATATTAGTTTAATATTGGTTCAACATTGGACCCAATGCTCGTCCCATGCTCGCTTCAAGACTCGGTCAATCTTTATGAGCGAAGCTCGAACATCTAATCTTGATTCAAGCTTGAATCAATCTTTACACAATATTCAGTTTATCTTTATTTATTATCGTGTTCACTTAATTAAATAATATTATAATATTTTTTATAATAATTATAATTATAATAATTGTTTCAAATTATAATAATAATTAACATTAAGTTATCAATTGATAAATAAATATTTATATTTATTTAGTATAAATATATTATTAATTGTAACATTCATACACGGAGAAAAAGGAATAGTTGACACATCCAGATACATGGATATCACAACCATATTATATTGAAAAATACGGGATATCCATAGTGTTAAGGTTGCTGCTTCCATATTCTATGGCTGGCTGTATATTGTTGGAGCAGCAAAAGATCTATGGTTGGGTGATCCATTGTAATGGAAATGGGAAACAAAAAAATTTGTATCACTTAATTAATTAAATTCTATGTCACTTGAGATACACTACCGTCGGGAATTATCGGTACGGCTGCACGCGCAGGGCCCAAAAACATACCAATCTTCAAATCACGATTTCTTTGTAAATACAAATGTCAGAAAATTAACAAATATACCATTCGAAAGATTATTAAATTCTACGATTAATGATATGTAACTGAAAATTTTAATAATTTATACAAAGCTTGCAGCAATCTACAAATTTTACAAAAAAATTTTTAAAATAAAATTTTTTTGGAAATTATTTCAACCCCTGCACATTTTTTAAAAATTGTAGGAAAAATTTGAAACTTATATAAGTGTAATCATTGAAATCTCATCTTTAATTTAAGACCAAAAGAGTTAAAAAATCTTATTCGGTTCGAGAGATATCATTATAAACGGCCGAGCATTTTCAGCCAAAAAACGTTCAAAATCGACTAATTCAATGCATTTGTCAAAAAACATGCTCGGACGTATATAATGATATCTCACGAACCGAATAAGATTTTTTAACTCTTTTGGTCTTAAATTAAAGATGAGACTTAAATGATTACACCTATATAAGTTTCAAAATTTTCCTACAATTTTTAAAAAATGTGCAGGGGTTAAAATAATTTCTAAAAAAATTTTATTTTAAAATTTTTTTGGTCAAATTTGTAGATTGCTGCAAGCTTTGTATAAATTATTAAAATTTTCAGTTGCATATCATTAATTGTAGAATTTAATAATCTTTCGAATGGTATATTTGTTAATTTTCTGACATTTGTATTTATAAAGAAATCGTGATTTGAAGATTGGTATGTTTTTGGGCCCTGCGCGTGAAGCCGTACCGATAATTCCCGACGGTAGTGTATTTTATACACATTTTTGTTAATTAATACACACCACTTATTGAATAACCGCATATTAACAAAATAAATTATTAACCGATGGGGGGAGATACGAACCCTAGACCTAACGCATACTAAACACTAACGCTATCCACTACACTATACACGCAACTACAATATTTGAGCATATAATATTCCTTATATACTCTACACATATTTCATGAAAATTAATTTACATAAACACTAATAAACAATAACGATAATAAATAATAAACAATTATAACACTATTTATACACAATAAACTCACAACGCGATTATATAGACGTGACAGGAAACCGACGCGACGGACAAATTGAAACGACCATTTTTAAATGGATGCCATGATAATGAATTGTGCGCAACATGTATCGAAATTTTGAACTAACTATGGATCTCCCAACCAAAGTTTATATGGATGAGGCAGCCATATGTGAAAATCCATAGCATGAATTGTAAGCCCAACCATGCCTATGGATGTCACATCCATATTTGATTCAACAATATAATATGGCTCCCTCATCCATTGAATATGGAATGTGCTTCCATTCTGAAAGTTGTCTCTTCCATTGAATTGGATGACACAACAATATTCTGCTCAACAATATTTTTATGGATATCTCTTCCAGACCTTTTCTTTCCGTGTATTTAAAGAAAGTTAAATGGGGAATTTTTTTTTATAAAAGTTTTCAAAATTATTATAGATAATTAATAAATAATAATTAAAATGTGCAATAAGTATTCCTGACACTGCATCATATTTAATAATTTTATTAATTTAATTATGTTAATTTTTAGGGTTCCGTACACCTACGGTGTATCGGCGGAACCCTATTGGTGAGACTCTGTTGTCCGTAGCCAAATCGTGCCCTCCCCCCTAGCGGCTAAACTATTTGACCTAAAGAGCTCAAATTTGGCCCAAATATGTATTTTCACTCGTAGATTACAGGAAAAATATATCGAATGTGATTGGACGTGATGGGCATAGCGTTGTCAAGCAAATAACAAGATTTTTGGCCAAAAATGCATAAAAAGTGACCATCCCCCCCCCCTTAACTTCTAAACTATTCGACATGGAGAGCTGAAATTTTGCATGCTGGTGTATTTTTACTCGCACTGAAAAAAATTCTTAGTAGATTTGACTACTTTTTAACTACTTTCTTTAGTTCAATAAGTCCCCAAAGATAATTTTGAACTTACATTAATTATCAGATATGTAGTTGAATGAAGTGATAATACAGTTGCATTAACTACTTTTCTTAGTTAAATAGGAATCAATGACAGTTTTGCAGTAGAATTAACTGCTGATATGTAGTTAAAGTTACTAAGATAACTCAGTAATAAAGACAACTACTGAAAATGGTAAAATAAAATTATTTATAATTTATTATAAATATTATCGAGTTGTATTTTTTTATATTTCCCCCTACCCACTTTTGTTTACCTATACCTTATTTATTT